GTTCAGGCACCTGGCTGTTTCTGTCAACTCACAGTTTTTTTTTTTTTTTGGAAGCTGCTTGCACGCACTTCCTGTTTTTATTTTTTATTAGGTAATATTATTTCCTTCTTGGTTCTCTGAGGGATTTGAAGATTAGTTAGTTATAGTTGAAGATTAGTTAGTTATAGTTGAAGATTAGTTAGGATAGAAAGTGAATTAGGTACATTTTGGACTTACCAAAATAGGATAGATAGTGGAATTATTTTCTCTGAATTTGTCAAATACAAATAGACAAGACATTGTTTAGGTATTTATTACTTGTATATATGGTATATAGTTATTTTACTTTTGTATATAGTTTTTCTTATGTTAGTTATAATCTTTTCCCTTTTTCTTTTTATTAAAATAGAAAAGGGGAAATATGGTGATATTTTATTTGTACTGAAATGTGATTTTATTTGTATGTTAATAAATAAAGTTGCCTGGGGGTCAGAGCTATTAGCAAACCATAGCAGAAACTGGGTGGTGGTGCACACCTTTAATCACAGCCCGTGGTAGGCAGAGTTAGGTAGATCTCTGTGTGTTCAAGGATACAGCCAGCATGGAGACACATGCCTTTAATGTCAATACCAACCATAGAAGACCTGGAGGTCTGAACAGACAGGCAGTTACTAGGAGGTCATGTGGTTGGGTTTACAGAATCAATGAGCAGCTACAATAGGGTAGAATTAGGAATTGAAAGATTAGAGAGTGAACTTTTTTATGTAAACATTTGACTATAGAAACTATTCAAGGACAATATTCTGGTCATTGTGTCCTTGGTTGCCATGGCTTATTCTGATGATGGCAACAGCAAATGACTACAGGCACTCTTGGAGAGCTCTAGTTGGATAGAGGAGCAGGACGTTCTTGGAATCCAGCCAACAGAATGGGGATGAGAAGGGAGGCAAGGGTAGAATCAAAATCAGGATGGAATGTACTTTCAGATTCTTGCCTCCTACAAAGCCCACAGTGCAGCTGTACTTTAACCTTGACTCTGTCTAGAATCTTGAACTTCAAGGGAGTGTCACTCCTTGCTAGAGCTCAGAGATTCTCAGATATTCAAGTTCTATGTTTCTGCTGTCACTGTCAAGGGACTAGACTGTCATCATGATGGAAACTACCCCTTCATTTTTCCAACGAAAGACATTCATGTGTTTACAGACATGCTGTCAGCACATTTATGATTTTTGATGAGTTTCAAGAACATAGTCAGTTGCAGAAAGGCTATTGGACATGAATGTAACTGCTACAGGGCATCAGAATGATTTGTTGATAGGTAAGAGAACCAGAAACAAAAGAAACATGGGGTTTTTCTGCTTATTCTCAGTCTACTATAAAGGTTACAGATGGGAATTGAGGGGATGTAATGAATGTGGGTGGGAGACAGTGTAAGCGGCGCCCAGCTGGTTGCAATATCTTCCTTAGGAAGAGGGCCAATGCTAAGAGGTGAAATGATAGCCTTTGCCTTGATTAAAAGCACATGAAATGTTCTGGGGTGAATCTCAGTAGTAGAGCACTTGCCCAGCACACATGAGTGTCTAAATCTCACCCATTGCCCTCCAGAATATACCAGAGTGTCATTGATGCTGACCTTCTCCCTGAAATGAATGTAATCTGGAGGGGAAGAACAAAAGGGAGTGTTTGGATTTCTAGTCCTGAGAAAATGTTACTCTATTGAAAACTGTAGATTGCCACAAGGGTGGACATTTCCCACAGAACACTCAATTTCATAAATCATTAGAATAAGCCAAGGGAGAGGAGTGCAAGGATTGATTTGAGTTTGCAGAGGCATTAGAGATCATGAGCCATGAGCAATGTAAGTAAAATCCTTGAATTTATATTCTTCTCAATACTGAGATTGTTTCCTACTTGCATAGATTTGAATTCAGTGGTCATAGCCTTGTGTCTCTGTCACTACTCACCCATTTTCTCCCACTTGCAGCTGCCTGGAGTGGGACCCATTTTGTACTGAGCTGTAGTCCAGAGAAAGTGGAAGACTTATATTGTGTCTCATTTCAAGCTAAGTGAAGCTAGCGATTATTCTCAAGATGTGCCCACTTGAACTCTAATTAGGATCACACTTTTGGTGTCATGTAGTCCTAAAACATTTGCATTGGCAGGTGTTGACACAAGTTCTGTCTTCCACATACCCCAGATATAGCCCCTGCTGTGTGTGTCAGGAACATTAGTGATAGAAGCCCAGATGTAATCAGCAAATTGCATGTTTTAGAGGTTGATATTGTTATGGAGTCCAAGCAAAGAGACAAACTGGAGGTTAGAAACAGATTAATTTTGATGATTCTTTTGACTTTGGCCCTTATCTCAACTAAACACTCATATGCCTATGTCATTGGCATAATGGAAAGTACACAAATGTATTGCAGAAAGCCAGTAATTAATTTAAGTATATCTAGTCACCATACTGTCTAATAGTATGTCATACTATTTCTATACGCAAATATGATTAAATACAGTTTTTTTTCATTTTTTTTGTAAATATGTGTGTGTATGTTTATGTGTGTACATATGTGTGCTCATGTGGGTGGAGTCCAAAGATTACTTGTCCTAAATCATTCTTCACTTTATTTTTTTAGAAAGAATCTTTCACTTAACCTATAGCTCACTAATTGGCTAGGCTGGCCAATAAGCTTCAGGTATCTACTGGTCTGCAACACTGTCCCCAGTGCAGTGTTAGGATTAGAGCTGTAGATACTCAAACCTGGCTTTTATATATGGATGTTGGATCTTAAGTCTTCATGTTCACAGATGGCAGACACTTTACCAACTGAGCCATCTTTCCAGCTCCTATAATAAATTTTCTTTCAAAAGAGATTTTAAAGTAGGTGGGAACAAAGAGTTGAAGGTGAAATTCTGGTAGAACACTTGCCAACTATATGTAAAGCCCTGGGTTCAATTCCTAGCATTACAAAAAAAATAAATAAAGTAAATGGGAACAAACCAAACCATCTTTAAAGAGAAATATTTTCACTGTTGACCATCTTGGTGCTGGCATGTAACTTCATTGATAAGTTTGAGACCATAGATTATTGCTCAATGTTTTGGGAAAGGAGTATGCTACAGTACTATGATCTCACAGTAAATTATTTTTTATAGGAAGGCTGCTTACTCCAGGGTATAGAACAACAGTAACTATAAATTTTGTCTCTTTTTTTATGGTATAAACCTCAGAATTATGATTCTTTTTATTATAAATAAAAATTTATTTTATGTATAGATCTATTTCTGTTTTCACTTCTGTTCCCATTATATTTTACATGTCTTCATTGTTTCCCACCAGCTTGAGTACTGGAGCTTTATAATAACCCTTGATTGCTAGTAAGTAAAGACCCATTCTATTTTACACTCTTGTTCTTAAATTACTATGGGAATTAAGGGCTCTTTATTTTCCACAGCTACATGAACAGCAGAATCTTCACAAATTATTCATAAAATACTGAACTGGTGATATGACTCATTTGAGTTCCATCTCAGCCATGCAGAAATTGTATGTGGTGGCAGAGACCTCTAATCCTTGTACTTGGGAGCTGGAGATGGGAGGATCAAGAGTTTAAGGTCCTATAGTGAGTTTGGGGTTCAGCTAGCTTACACGGCATCCTTTATCAAAGCAAACAAATAAAACAAAAAATTAAAATTATCCACAGTAATATGAAGAGCAGGAAGTGACACCCTCTAGTATTAATTTCTTGTGAAAGCCTCTGATATTGAGACCCTTAGCCCTGTAGGTGTTTCAGTTCTTGTGTGGGCCTAGGAAGTAGAGAATGTTCAGTGTTCCTCTGTGGTTAGACTTGCAGCTCCAAGGCAGGCTTGGATAATGAAAGGTCTCATCCCTTAGCAGCAGCCATTTATATGTCTTATGTAGGCCTAGGAAGTAGGGGAATTTCTTAGCTATTAACACAAGCCAGCTTTAGAGCTCTTAGCCCAAGACTGGAAATACCTCTGACCTAAAGACTTGACTGCTCTATGGAACTTTTCTGGTGTCCAGGGACATTTGTTTCTTCTGTATGACACTTTAAAATATCTATCCTTATTCAGCCTCAGGTTTATTCCCTCTCCTGTTGCCTCTCTTATTCTGCCCTTCTTTCTTCCCTAGCCACTCTTGAACTATTCAGCTATTTTTTTTTCTGTAGCTGTGTAGACAGCTGCCTTGCTGTATTCATAATTCAATCTCTTGATACCTTGGCTGCCACTGCTGTTCTGCTGCCTCTTCTGGAACTATCCTGCCTCTTAGGATTTATCCCTGTGTTACTATCTTATCTCATATTATGAAGAGGAGGGAAGAAATATCACTTGAGGAGGATAAAGAAATGGTTGTGTGGTTAAGAACACTTGTTGCCCTAGCAAAGGATCCAGATTTGATTCCCAGTACCCACATAGTGGCTCTCTACTATTTGTAACTCAAGTTCTAGGAGATCCAACACATTCTTCTGACCTCTGCATATACCAGGCATGCACATGGTACACATACATACATGCAGGCAAAAA